AAATGTGCCCCCCCCCCCCCCCCGTCGCCAGGCTCATTAGTCACTTTCTAGTGCATTAAAAGTGATAATCTGATTTCGCTTGTTGGACCCTTGTACCTTTTTCAGGCTAAGGTCAGTCTTTGCTATTATACAATATGGATCTAGTTTCATTGTAACAAAGTCCAGAGATCACTGAGGCTTTTTATCATTTCAGGATCTCATTTAGTTTTACTGATTGATTTATATGTTCATTGGTTTAGATTAAATTTTAAATTACAGAATTACAAAGGAATGTTTATTGTTTATTATACAAGCATTGACAAACACATGGTTGTTAACAAGCTTGTGCATGAGTATACATATAGGTTTCAGTTTGTCATCCTACAACTCTCCTTAAAGAATGTTACAGATTTCAAGTATCAGAACCAACCAGGTGACAAGGAGGCTAGAGGAGTGCGTTCATATCTGTTTTTTGTTTACCGAGAAGCCTCTCCGGCAAGTTTCTACTGTAAAGATTCTCCCAGTAACACAGGGCTAAGCAGATATGGACTGAACTGTAAGCCAAAGTAGACATATCGATCATATCAGTGTGTCTCCAGGTAAGCCTATGGCATTTTCATGATGTGTTTTATGAAAGTTCAAATTATTATATTAAATTAGAACTGCTACACTGGAGTAATAATTTGGAGCTGTCTCCTAAGTTATATATAGTGAGGGGGTCTCCCTAACTGGTCTGTATTGCCATTCTGTTTTTTGCATTATTGTGCTTAAGTATGGGTTTATTCATTTCAGGTACCTTGCTGGAAGAAAGCTCTTCTGGCCAGGCGTTGGTGGTGCATGCCTTTAATCCCAGCACTCGGGAGGCAGAGGCAGGCAGATCTCTGTGAGTTCGAGGCCACAGAGCCTGGTCTCCAGAGCAAACACTTTTTTGAAAAAAAACAAAAAAAAAAAAAAAAAAAAAAAAAAAAAAAAAAAAAAAAAAAAAAAAAGAAAGCTCTTCTGACCACTCAGATGCTGGGTGCCCTGTCTGGTGGGACTTAGGAAATTGGCATAGGACACAGTTGGTGGGGGTAAGGTTGTCTCTGTACCTGGGCAGGCATGTAAATCATGTAGTTTTAAAGATGGGTAGTTCAAAAACCTTGGGTATGGTGTCCAAGAGCTGCAAAGGGACATACTATGAATTTTCAGATATGGGTTTTTAGAGCAATAGAGCATGTGTTTGCTGAAGATTTGGGCCTGATAGTGAGAGTAGAACAGTCCAGGCCAGGTTAAAGGAAGCCAATACGGACTACCTAGCACCCTCCTGGACTGCCTCTCCCATTCTTTAGCTTCCCATGCCATGTGTTTGAGATCCTCTTTTTGTTTTTAGTTGGAAGTTTTAAAAAAGTTGCCAATAATTTGAGTATATCAACCCTGGCTTGATTAAATACTAAAGGTATTGTGAAAATATCCAAATATTAGGCTGTGTCAGATAATGATAAAATTATCTTACAATATGGTCAAAATCTAATCAAAGCACATAAAAAAACCGCAAGGTTAAAACTTAGTATAAAAACATCTCAAAGGAAGATTCCAGTGATGTCAGAGACTAAATAATACATCTTTGAAAAGCAATTGTAGTAGAAATTGCAGGGCAAGACTATGAGGATGGATGAGAGGGTGCCATTGAGAAGATAAGGACGTGAGGGACAGGGAGTCATTACAGGGACCTCTGATGTCCTGGGCCTCCAGGGTGAGCTGCTTTGAATGTGTCCTGGACCTAGGTCAGGCTTCTCTGATATGAGCACATTTCCTGGAGATGTTTAAAGAGTATAAAATACCTCCCCAGTCATCTGAAGCACTGGATTTCTATAGGACCCTTGGGATCTGGGTTCCTAGGAAACAAGTACGAAACTCTAAAGATGGGGACAGACACTGGCTTAGTACTGTGCTGGACATACTCAAAGGACCCCATTTACCTTGGGGGAAACATCTAGCTCAAATCTGTTTCTGACCCAGACATTTACCTTCAATTGGTTAGATGCCCTCATAAGGACAGGGCAGATTAGGGGGAATGTATACTGTGTAGGGTACCCTAGACACATTTTATGTACTTCACAGAGTAGATTTTTGTCTTTTACCAAAGGTTAAATGAAAAAGAGCTTGCTTAGGAAAGGAACTTAGCACCTATCACTGGAACAGAAAGATGCATCCAGCCTGTCTTTGTTTCTGCATAATCAACACCACCCCCTCTTGATCCACCCCCTTTCACTGCCATCATAATACAAAGAGAAAATGAAAAGGGTATTAAGATTTTTTAAAGTCCCACTTTCAAGTTTATAAAGATTGACTTTATCTTAGTAATTTTGTAAAGTTTCAGAAAGAAATGGAAAGAAGAGACTAACATTTAGACAATACAATCAAGTCTCCAACTTGCAGGCTGGTTGTGTACTCTTTAGTGGAGCACCTCTCCACACTGAGTTTCCTCTCAGACTCACGTGTACAGAGTTGCAAAATTGGTTGACTGTCCCTAAGTAGAATCGTCCTGCAGCTAGAGAGATGCTGTCAGAGGCTCAGTCCAGCCTGTGGTACAGGGCTCTTCTCTCTGTTTTAAAAAGGATTCAGCATTCTTTCAGCAGTTTGCGCTTAGGCAAATGCCTTTCAGGCCTCTTTGATGAAGACAACTTCTATATCTCAGGTTACATTTTGCATCACTTTTCATCATGTTTCTAGCTCTGATTAAAAGGGGGAGAGAAGAAGCACTGTCTAGAGATTTGAAGCAGAATTCTGACCTCAGGGGAAATGCTGCTGCAAAGTATTCCCCTAATGAGGCCTCCCTCCCCGAACCCTCATTATTTTGTGTTGAGAGAGGGATCAGGAAAACATGGATGGGGAGATCATTGGAAAGGGGGCTGTGGAGAATAAGCTCAGTGTTCTCTGTGTGGCTGCTGACTTCTTAGTGATGTTTCAGTTTCCTTGTCCCCTTGTCTCTCTAGTACTCATCCCATGCTGGCCACTGTCTGCTTCCTTTAAGATGCAATCGAGTCACTGATTCTCCCTTGGCCTTCCTCTTCCTCTATTTTAGTCTTCTTGGTTGCCCTCAACTCTATTGGACATACTGTATTTACTTAGCTCTTGTCTGTCTCCATCTCCTAGAATGTGGACTTCATGATAGTACTTTGGCTCATTGTGGAATCCCTGGCACCATATATCATAGTGCTTAGCATGTAAGCGGTTCTCAGTAGATATCTTCATGAATGCCACGGACAGAAGAAAAGAAAGCTGTGGTTTCAAATATGAACCTTACATTAAAAGTTACCTGTAGTTGGACTGGGGAGATAGCCCAGTGGGTATGAGTGCTTGCCGCATAAGCATGAAGACACATCCCAACATGCATGCATACACACACCACACACATATATGTACACAGACATGCATATGAATGTATATATATTATATATAAATACACCATACACCATTTTACATAGGTCAACATCTATATCTATATCTATATCATATACTAACCCTTCATGTACCCCCCCCACACATACCACACACAAAGACATATACATACACAATTGTACACATGGATATACCATATACCATCCCCACATGCACACACACATGTACGCTACCACCAACATGTACATGCAAATATACAATATACACCCCGATATGAGTATACCATACACATACCACACTGCACATTTGTGAATACACCACACACACAGTGGAGAGAGAGAGAACGAATAAAGTTACCTGGAGTATTCTTGATATTAAATTGATATTAAATCTGCATACACCCTCATGTCTTGATTGAAGGTGAGTCATTTTGGAAAGGCATTTATTTATTTTATAAAAGTTAGTGTCAGGTTCATGTGCCACAGTCTGTCACATGAGATTTGCTGTGTGGATTCTGGGGCCTATGGGTGACAGGGGTTGCAGAATGGGGAGAGGAAACCAAGGAGATAGGAATGGTTATATAGGAAATCATATAGCCTTGGGGCCAGCAAGATGGCTCATTGGCTAAGGGTGCTTGCCACAAAGTTTGCTATCTTAGGGCTTCTATTACCATGATAAAACACCATGGCCAAAAGCAACTTTTGAAGGAAAGAGTTTATTTCAGCT